TTTTTTTGAAAAGTACCATAAATGTCTTAGAAAATATTGGCAACCCTAGTTGCACACATTTTTTTTTTAGAAAAACAGTTTAGTGATATGTATAATTTTTTTTTTTCATATAAAACTATGTCCAGCTTACGAATAGTGCTGATTTAAACCGAAATATTTTGGTGGCAGTTAAAAAAATCTATAAAATTTCATATTTCGCATGGGGAAGAAGAACCGAGTTTTCTTTGTGCGAAGCGTTTGTCAGTCTAATGTGCAATAAAAACCACAAAATTAGAAATAAATATTTTTCTATTATGTATAATTAAAAAATCGAATTTAGTTTTGTTTTCTTTAGTAAAAAAATTTTGACGAAGAAAAATTCAATTTTAGTGGCAACCTTCGAAAATTCAACTCTGAATCTCTCTATGCAAAAGTACATTCACATGGACCTACATACATGTGTACATCACCATGACAATGAGGCTCACTCTCTTACACACCACCCTTGTTTATACATATCGCACAACTTTATAAAAAGTGTTTTAACTCAAAAATCTTAATTTTTAATATTAGCTACTAAACAAGTTCACAGTTTATTAATTTAGTTAACTACTAGCAAAATCTCAGCAAAATTGTGTTGTCATTTGCTGCAAATGCGCCGTTAAATTCTCGCTTCTACATAAGATTGCTACATTTTCAGAAATTTTTTTTGTATCTTCCGGCAAATGAGCAATTTCGAGTTATCATGCTTTTGCGGAAAGTGTGCGTTATGCGGCTTGTATTTTATTATTTATACAACTACTTATAGGCAAGTAAATGAGCTGTGAGTACTGAGTACGCATGAAACGCCGGGCAAGTGCAAAGGTTTTTGCAAGCATTGAAAATATGTTGATAGTCGAACAGATAGGATATACAGTGCATACATAAAACAATAAATAAATAAACAAAAAACTGATTGGAATACGAAGATTACGAGTAAATAAAATACATACATACATACTTCATAAATAAAACTTTATTAAATATTTGAATGCAATGCGCCGAAGAAGGTAATACGCGTTTCGAAAAAGTACTAGAAGGCCGAGACGTACATATGTATGTACTCGTAGTATATATGAAAATGAAATGCAAAAGTTGAAAGCGAAAGTCAGGAGTGCAGTGGCCAACAACACAAGACAACAAAGTAACAAAATAAATATACATACATATATGAATGTGTGTGTGTATAAATGAGATTGAGAACTGAGAGATAAGACTCATAAGAGCATAAATAAACTCGAATATACTCATGATTGTAAGTTTATAAATACACACTATATACAGTGCCGGCCATTTGAATAGCGTTCACTTTTGATTTACAGTTTTCAGTTGATTTAAAATTCCTAAATTTTTTTTTTTAAACACTTGGCATATTATTTTAAGAAAACCGATTTAAATCCCATTCCGAAACTTTATACAAAAATTATAATAATTTAACAAATTTTCATTATTTTTTTAAATAGTTTTTAGAATGTTTTTCGTTTGCACTTTTGTAGCGCATTAAATTTTACTATAATAAGGTGCAAATTTCAAGTTTCTAAAAAAATTGCGTTGATTTAAATTTTTTTTTAATGTGTATGAAAGTATAGACACAACACCCTTGGCGACTTTTAGAAACTTGTAGCTTATTAATAAAAATTTAACGGGGCTATAGAGCTGCATTTTAGCTTATTCGTTCACTAGCAAACGCCCGGCTTGCTTCGCGACGCCTAATAAGAACTTTTGCGTTGACCAATACAAAAATAGTGTTGAAAAGCAAAAACGGTTTGTATAGTAAAAGTTATTGGTTTAGGACGAAAGGACTGTAGAGTAGAACCTTCCGTACTCATGGGCCACGAATAATAGTTAATAGCGCTAATCTGCTTCGATGCTATGTGCTCTTATTTCCACCTGTGAGATATGATGAAAGAGTTTTCTTCCCGTTCAAATGGGGTCATTGATATTCCTACCATGTTCTCTCTAATTCGTCACACTTCTTCTTGATATACCGAGGACCTGTTGATGTGTCTAGGATATCGTGGCGCTTATTAAGCCATCTAAAAAGTAAATTTGTAGAGGCGTATCTATGTAAATATTTTGATGCCAGTGCCATCTAAGTTTTGGGTAATTTTTTTTTGCAGAAGCACTTCTTATCATAAAGTTAATACCCGTTAATTGAGATCGTACGATAAAGATGGATTCTCTAAATATCTCGACACCAATGCCATCTGCCGGCACCATTTTTTGAAAAAGTTTACAAATACATATATAAAATAGTAAGAAAGATTGTGAATTTACCATAAATTAAAGGGTATATAAACTATTTTTCTTGTTTAATTTAAGGTTGCTAATTAGTTGAACGCATCTGTATGTACGTATACTTTTTTTAAGCATATATCATACATCTGTCTTCACACCAAATTTCAAAGTCACGTGACTATCGGCCCCGAAGTTATTGTTGATTAAAAATTTCATATCTATGGGATGTGCCACGCCCCTTTACAAAAACAAAACAAACTACTTCCCTATAAGCATCTACCATAGATACGTACATATGTATGTTAACACACCATATTTCAAAGTCATGTAACTTAGGTTTTAAATTGATAGTTGATTAAAATTGTCACGCCTGTGAGAGGTGCCACGCCCCCTTTGCCAGATCTTATTTTAGTAGCAAGGTTACTGCCTAGTCACCGCTTAAAATTCTATGAAAATCCATTCGGTAGTTTCGGAAATTAGTGGGTGCAAACACAAACGGGCAATCAGACAGACAAAAATTCTAAAAATGGCCTGAATGTATTATATTCTCGGCCTCACATTCGGTCATTTTTTAAAGAAATTTTCCACAGACACGTCTTTTCTACAGTTTTATTATAGTATTTATTTTTTTTGAGGTCTAAAATTTGGATTTACAGGATTTATGTTATATTATGCTATTTTTTTAAATTTATAAATTTTTTTGTTAAGTTTGAAATTTTGATGAAAACATGTTTAATTGTTATAAATTTTGTATAATGTTTGAAAATCGTATTTACATGCCTTTTGTTATAAAATATGCTATAATTTTTATAAAAAATTAATGAATTTTGAATAAACAAAAAGAAAACTGAATATCATAGGGGGCGCTATGTCAGCGGCCGGCACTGTATCCGTATATATATATATGTGTGTACATCAGTTTGTGTGCGGCTATTTAGCACCCACTCAAGTGCCAAAAAATCCAACTGATTGTGAGAAAGTCTAAAGTCGCCTGTAATTATTAATTAGTATGGCACTTGTAGCACGTACTAAATATGTAAATTTCGCACGTGAATAACATTACTGGCTGTATACCGCCAACGTCGTCGACACTGAAGTGATTTTAGTTTTTAATCTATATATATATTTACAAATTTACATACTTTCTTACATACATAAATATATACGAATAAATGAACATCTGGGAGTACTACTAAGTATATCAGCTGTGGTGCATCTGAACGAAATTAATTGGGAGTATCTTAAGTCCGTACACGAGCCGAATGTCAGAAGAGAGAAAATGGAAAAAATAAACATCTTACTGCCAGAATCAGCGAGCAGGGTGATATTAGCACAAAAATGAGATACAAATACAAAACAGAGAGCGGAGGACAACCAACCAACCAACCAACCAACCAACCAACCGAACGACCAACCATTGAGCTAAGGCAGGCGCGGTGGGATTCGTTATACCAGCGAGCCATACACCCGTCAAGTTGCGATACGACCTTGCAATACCCTTGAATGACACTCTTTATTGTGCGCACCGTGTCCAAGATGACGACGAGCACAAAAGCGACGCAACGGTAGAAGAAGTCGAAATATTAAAAGTGAACTTTTGTGTGTTTTTGTCTTTTCGTGTGTAGTTCACGCGTTCGCTTTTCGTTTATTAAAAACAAAATATAATAGCTGGCAAAAAAAAAAAATAATAATAAAAATTCTCCTAAATGTGAAGAAAATAAATATCAATTTAAATCAATTCAAATAAAATGTTCTGCAATGCATTAAGCAACAACATCAGCAAGAAACCATACCAAATATACGATCGCAACGTCGACTGTCTGGCTTAAATCTGTGACATTTCACTAACGAAATTTTACGCAAGGTCAAAGCAAAAATTGTAAGGTGGAATGGCATAAAAAACCCCCCAAAAAAAAATGATAATACGCTTATACATACATAGTATATAAGCATAAAAATAGTTATTGAAATCGTAAAATAATGTTAAAAAAAAATAATAATCTAAAATACAAGTGAAGCAGTGCCTCTGTTCAAAATAAGCAATACAATATTTATGTTTTTTTTTTGTTGTAGTGCAAAAGTGTTGTTAAACAATTTGAAATTTTGTTTTGATAAGCCTAACCAACAAAACTAAATGCTCAAAATAATAATTATTACATACGAAGGAATGCTAATCAAAGCCGCTAGCAAGCCAAACAAGTACATATGTATGTATATACACTCGCCATAGTTGCTAGACCGCTTAACCGGGCGCCACAGCTGACAAGAGACACAGGCGGAATCGCTCGCCGTACGGGTGATGAGGGTTAATTATGAGAAAGCAAAAAAAAAAAAATATTAACTTCACATTTTAAATTACTTCACACTGAAAAGTGTTCTACAAACTAAATTTGTATGTATGTATGTACATATAAATATTTTTGCTGTACACAGTGCAAAGGGTCATCTCTGCAATTATAACTAATTTGCGAATGATTTGCAATTTTTTTTTTGCTTCTTAATTTTCGGTTTTTAATGCTATTTATAAATGCCGAAAATTTATTTTAGTTTGTCTGATTATGTGTGTACATATGTATGCGTTTTTGTATGTAGTATTTTTCATAATGCGCATACATAGTAGATGTGCGGCTATACGTACATACATACATATGTACATACTTATAAACGCCGACAAAAATATGCACGAAATTATATGGAAAAAGTGTCATCTTTTTATTTTGGTTTTTGATTATTTTTTTTTCAAATGCTTTCATTTATTTTGTTTTGCTAATTAACCGCCATGTGCGCACACAAAAGTTTTACTAATGGAAAGTTAGTACGCATATTTCGTATTGGTACGGGGCACATGTGCGAATAAAATTTGATAATAAAATATCTTGCAAAACTCAAGTGGATATTGTAAAAGCAAAATTTTTGAATATTTCAAAAAATAAACTTGAATAATTTACTATCTTAGTAATTATTCACTTATATGTATAATATTAATTAATATCTACTATTAATCTGCAAAATATTTACCAAAAATATATACATACGTATGTTACTTTTTCACTTTTACGTAAAGAAAAAACATATAAATAAAATATCTGTGAATTTTCTGCGCAGTGCAATTAGTTAATCGCATGCGGTGTTGGTTGCAACCAGCCAGGTAAGACAAGGTGGTGGGTGAGTGGTGAATGCAATCAGGACAGCTGATTTTACGTCAAGCCGGAATCTACGTACATACATACGTTGCCAATGTTGACGTATGGATTTACGTACGTACATATGTATGTACATATGTTTGTATATATGAAGAAGATGTGCTACATACATATGTATGTATGTATGTACGAGTATGCATTGACATGTGCATTTCTGTTATACATATGTAACACATGGTATATATAAACGTACATACTTATGTATAAAAATGCATCTGTAAATATTTTGTTTACATTTTTAAAACAATAAACATCAACATAGTGTAAAAAACTCGACCTTCTATATGCATAAGCATACATACATACATATTTTGAGTACTTTTTTAAATTAAATTTTAAATGAAGTTTCTAATTTTTAATGAAAATGCGCAAAGCTTGTTAAGATATTTTTGTTCTTTCAAGTTTCAACTTTAAATAAAAATACTAAAATACTTTTGCGTTCAAAAACTGTTTATAACGTAAAGAGTGTTACAGGACGATTCTGGCTAAGATAGTAAAAAGCCTTTCGTAAGACAAAAGAAAGACAGATGTCAAGATAGTTCGAAAGACCTTTGTTATTCTAGTACAGAAGTCCTAGAAAATAGGTCTCTCATTAACCACTCGTGGTGAAAAGGAGCACTGGCGTATGCCATTCGAGTGGTTCGGGTTCAAAATTGCGGGAAGCGATTTTTTTTACTATATCGTATTTAATTTTTTTAAATACAATTTTATTTTAATTATAAGATTTCATTGTCTTAAAAATAGAAATATATATTTTTTAAATAAATTTAATTTTTAGTAACATAGTTTATTTTTATGTTTATTTTTTTTCTTAAGATTTTATTGTTTTGGAGGAAAAAAAATTAATTTACTTAAATTTAATAGAAACGTATTTTAATCTTTATTTCTATTTTTTGATAAGTTTTTTTTAATTTTTTCAACTTTCTTTTTGCGTTTAGATTGTATTGTTTTGACAAGAAAAATAAATTTTATTTGCTTTTTTTGTTTTTTTTTAAGATTTTCTTTTCATTTAATTTTTAGATTTTTGTTTTAAAAGAAAGAAATACTATATTTTTAATTGCATTTAATTTTTAAAAACATTTTTATTTATTTTTACTTTTTTAAATTTTTTTATTGTTTTAAAACGAAAAGTGTAATTTTTAAAAAAGTTATTGCTAAAAGGGGAACTGAATTGTGCTAAGACCTCCTCGTTAGCAGATCTTTCAATTAGACTTTCGAAAGATAATACGGAGTTTTCAAGATAATTGTCTTACGAAATTCTTTTGTCTTTTGCTTGATGTTCTTGTCTTGTCTCGAGGATTTTTTCTTCTTCTTTTTTTCTTCTCAGATCTCATTCTTATCACCCTAATGTAAGTAAATTAAAGCTCATCTAAAATCATTAAACTGGGGCTAAGGAAGTGTTTCGATTATTCCATAAAAAAAATGTTTTTGCCGAATGTAGGTGTCACTGAAATATTATAAAACACCACTAGGTTCGCCAAAAAAGTTTTTTTTTTCGAAATTGCCTTGCAAAAATTATTATTTTTTGCTTGTAAGGTGGTATGGTCTAATGTACATACATATGTACCTATATTATTGAATCGTTTATTGCATTCGTTAAAATTGAGTAGACGGCTAATTAATCTCCAATAATGTTAATACAGGGTGCGTCAGGCATTTCTTAAACTATTTATTGTATTAAATATCTAGAGTTGAGCAAGTGCCATATGCATCATTAATTTGATAGTTTCTGCTCTTGGGGGAATCAGGGTTATTATCGGAATATTTATTGGACTCCCGTTCAACAATGCTCCATACATAAGGTGCGTTCGTTTAAAATCTCCAGCAGAAACCAACCAACTGCCAAATTCCGGCGAAATGTCATCTGTTCTCTCACAAGAGAGAAATATCCAAAATAGTACGCGAACAGAAAATTTGCAGAAACTTGCAAGTTAGACGAACAGCTGATATAATTTTTGTTTACATACAAAAGTGTAAAATTTAAAACGTACGAAAAGTCGTCGCAAAGTGTTATACTGACACAGTTTATTGATTAAACAAATAACTACTTATTTCTTACAAGTTTAATTAGTCGCATTTTGTAATTTTTATCTTGCAAACCATCAAATTCAATTTTGTGATTTGCGTAAATGCCAACCAGCTGTTTTTGATCAGCAGTTTCCCTGTTGGCAAATTGCTGTTGGCAAAAATTTTTCCAACAGAAACTAACAGCTTCCCCTCAAAATGAAATCACTTTGCTCTCTCAATTTCCCCTACTTTGCAAGTTTTTTGCGTACGCGAACGCAAAAACCTGTAAGTTTTGGTTAAACTTGAACAATTAACAGCTACGCGAACGCACCTATAGTCATCCAACTAGGGATGTCAGTGGCATCTGTAATTTCTGTAATTCTATGTATCGGAATGTAAATCGGTATTTTTCGATGCATCGATTTGCATAGGGTTTCTCAGATAATGTTTCACAACAAAACGTGTTATTAGCACAATTGTACAAAATTTGAAATAAATTACTGCAACTGAGCTATTTATTTTTCTAACGGAACATTTGGGGGCACTTCAATTTTTTGGTAAAAGTCACCTTTTCTCACTCTTTCGTGTACAATTAAAAACTGCAATAACGGTTCAATGTACTAGAGATGTTTAAAAGAAAAAAATAAGCGCATCGATACATCGACTGTATATAAACCGAGTGGAAAATTTCCGATGCATCGAAGCAAAACATCGATATTTTTCCAACATCTCCACATCCAACAATTAAGAACCGGATAGCTGGGTACCCATAACTTTGATGGTATGGCGCCAGGAAAATTCTAGTATTTCTAATCTTGCGTCTTCTTGGCCTTGTGTGAAGGAGCAGCGTTCTGTCGGAATACGAATGGCCTCTTACCAGGTACACTAACAACCAAGCGTTTCACAACTGCTTCTTAAACTTCCATATATATATATAATAGAAACTACTTTCTAAAACCTAACAGTTGCCGGAAACTTTATTTGCAATGTCTGTAAAACATCTGAGGGTTTTGAACCTAACCCCATATCACTGTCAGATTCTTCTAGTTCTCACCGAGCTTTGTAAACAAATAATCGGGCGAATTTAAAAAATTTTTGTTGGGCTTCTTCCGTCTATTTATGATGTTGAAAAATTAAAAAATGTGTATGTTCGGATTTGCAAATATGTGACGTATCATGTATATGTATATAGTAGGATTATTTGTTACCAACTAATGCATAATTGTATGCCTAATTGTAAATTAATGCCTAATTGTTAGAAATGGAGAAATATTTACAGCCTCTCCTTATACCCACACACGAAGATCCTTTAATAGTCGCAAAGAATTTCCAAATTTATTTATACTCGCAATGAAGTATCTCTATCTCTGCGCACCACCTTCCTCAGTGAACTCAAGGCTCCGCCAAATATAAAATCTTTTCTGCGTTGCAGGGATGCTTTCGACTGACAAGACGCACTTAACATGGCGAGGCGATACAATGACAACCTTGCCGCAAACAAAATGGCTCAATTTGATTGGCCAAAACTCAGCTGTTGTTGTTGTTTTGCCGCATTGACGCGCGTAAAAATGTGCACGCGTTGAAAATGTGGCGTCTTCTATTCAAAATCATAGAGTTAACTTAGTTGTCAGGCAAAAGCATCTCTGTAACGCCGCAAATAATTTATATC